AAATTTCTTATCTTTTTGGGTCAACGCTGTTAATGATTGGGCAATCTTCGATAAATTCTCAATGAATAGCTATTAATAACCTGCCAAACCCAGAAATTGACGAATATTTGTCGAGGTTTTTGGGACTTCCCATTTCTTTATGGCCTCAACCTCAGCCAGATCCACATTAATTCCTTTTTCGCCAATCACATGACCGAGAGAAGGTACCTCCCAAATCCATAATTCACACTTTGAAAACTTAGCATACAACTCTTGCTCCTTGAATAACTCTAACATCAACTTCAAATGCTGCTCATGATCTTCCTTACTCCATGAATGACACAGAATGTCATCGATGAATACGATCACAAACGTGTCTAGATACGGTCTACAGATCCTATTCCTTAAATCCATGAATATTGCCGGTGCGTTTGTTAGACTGAAGGGCATAACTAAGAACTCATAGTGTCCATATCGAGTCCTAAAGGCTATCTTAGGGATGTCCTCCTCACGAACTCTAAGTTGATGTTTCCCTGACCGAAGGTCAGTCTTTGAGAAATAACTAGCACCTTGCAACTGGTTGAACAGATCATCGATTTAGGGGAGGGGATATCGATTATTGATCGTCAATTTGTTGAACTCCCTATAATTAACGCACATTCGAAATGACCCATCTTATTTTTTACGAACACGACTGGAGCTCCCCAAGGTGAAGAACTTGGCCAAATGAATCCCTTGTCCAAAAGTTTCTGAAGTTGACCTAACAACTCCTGCATTTTAGCTGATGGTATGGTGCTTTAGCGACAGGCGTTGCTCCGGGAATTAGGTCAATTCGGAATTCAACTTGTCTAGACGGAGGAAGTCCAAACAAATCATCTGAAAATATTTCTGGATAATATCTTGGATTTGCCTCTCCTCTGATTTCTTTTCAACAACGCGTGCCAAGAATGCCACGTACTTCTTCCTCAAATACTTACGGGCCTTCATACACGATACTAAACATAGGCTCTTCCCAAGTTTATCCACTTGTATAGTAAGGGTTTCTTTGCCTTGGAGTGGTATTCTAACGGCCTTGATGCTTAGACAACCAATCCGTGACGACTACTACGTAGAAATTCCCCAATTCTATTGGAATAAGATCAATATTAAATAACCTATCTGCTAGATTCAAGGCACAACCTAAGATTACATCTCTAGCCTTTATTTCATGGCCATTGGCAAATTCAATAGTGTAAGCATCCTTCAACTTCCTCGATTTCAAATTAATCAATGGCCTAAATTCTAATGAAACAAAACTCTCATTGCTATGAGACTTATTCGCTAGCCAACTGCATCACCACCATATTTTGCAACCATCAGGAGCAACAACACAAACGTCGCCAGCACCAGTCGTCCCACTATCTGACACAAAAGCACCATCCTCCGCGTGGTTCTTCTTGCCTCATTGGCGGTCTCCCATGCCTTGATCGAAGTCTGATATAGGAGGTTTGCCGCCTTCGACAAATTAGACATAGCCTGATGCTGGTATGCCAACCTCACTCGACAATCACGCAGCTCAGCTGCCATGGCCTGAACTCTCTGTGCCTCAGCCTGCGTCATGCAAGGAGTATGTTCTAAGGGTAAACACACGACTGCACAGGGCGTCATCTCCAGCTCCTGTCGTGATGTTCCTAACCTACCCTCCTTGGCATCGGGATGCTCTTTCTTGTCGTCTGTCGAGCGCGCGGTCTATGGGGATTCGCCTGGTGAAATACTGGGGTCGGCTGGGGTATCTTGGAATTCGGTGGCACTCTCGGATGGTCTCTAGTAATCCTCTTGCTAGACACCTCATGATCTGAATTGGTGTGCATGTGGGGTTCCTCCTCGCGAATGATAGGTGGGTTGACTCAGGGACGATCAGTGACATAACTCGACTCATCGATCGAGTTAGTAGTGCGAGAAAAAATTGATGATGACGACATAGTGATATTGAGATAAGATTGCACTAAGTCACTAAGGTTATAACTATAATCATCTATGATATGCAATGCCTATTCACACACTAAGTATGCTGCTTCAAAGGTTTTGAGAGGAAAATCATCTTAAAAATATTGACAAAAAGAGAAAAAACGATATGCTTCCACATGATGTCTTCCTATATGCCAACCTTATTGATGAACACCTGAAAATCATGCCAAAGGAGGTCAACTACTGAAATAGTTGGTGAGTTCACAGGTTTTTAAAATAATAAGTAAAAAGTTTAACTCGCAAAACGGTTTAATCCGCACAATGGATAAGTAACCGGTAATTTGTAACGCACAAGGTAAATTGTATGCTTAAATGCTAAAGCCACGAGCCCACTACCAAACCTAATGACAGAACACCCCGCGACTACATGTTCTATCGCCAACATGAGTACTTGTATTTCTCACGTCCTACCTCGGCGGTGAAATAATTCCACATGTGTAAGACTCTTGTTGTTATTGGTAAAATGCACTTCTAACTCGTCATTTAAAAGTGGGGTTGTCAAACCAAAGTGCAATAGCAATAAGAATAATTTAACAATTCACGTATAATAGAACAACCGGTACGTAGTATTAGTAGCATGTTTTTTCCCCCAAAAATGCAAAAATAGTGAAAAGGGGCTGTGAAAACTCACCGAGATATGCAAGGACTGATTCCAAAAATCTACCGAATACAATCAAGGTCCTGTCATACTTCGGTCCAACGAAAATCGAACTACTAATGAGATTCCAGCCTAGATCTTAAGGTTCCAGTGATGCTTATTTATTATAAAATGCCTTATGAAAAACTGAATTTTATTTGAGTTATTATTTTATGGAAGAAAAATAATAATAATAAAAAGAAAGAAAAAGTAAATAGCTTCTATTATTTCAATAATTTTATAAAGAAGAGGGGTAAGCAATTTTTTTTTACAGATGAACACCTCATTTTATTTTTAAGCTTTGTTGTCGCGATTTTTCTGTTATTTTATGCGTTTCTTTATTTGCCTTCCAAAATCATTTGAGTCAGGATGTTTTTATCCAAGTTAATATATCAAGATAGAAGACTTTTGACATAGGAAACATAAATTTTTAAGACAGATAGATCCCTCAGGTAGGTCTTATAACATCAGTTATCTAGAAGGTTTAGCTATTTGCGCACTTATTTTATGTAGAGTGTTTGGAGGTCGAAATCTCGACGTTTTTAGGTGAGACCACTTGGGTTTAAAATCTAACACACAGACTTAAATTCCAGAAGAAGTTTCATCTTATTTGGTTAGGTATTTTAGAATTTACGGTCCTCCGAAGTCAGTAGTTAGAATCTGCCAGATTGCTGCAGAAAGGGGTATTAAGAACATGTATTCCAAACCTTTGATTCTCACACACCTTTTATTTAGGTCATGATTTTATAAACTTTAAATCAAAAAAAAAGAAAGAAATAAAAAAAATATTATGATGACAAACTAGATTAACCATCAATACTTATATGCATCAAAATAAACAAAAGTATTTTGCCAAAACTCTAAAGAATGTTCATCATATGTTGTTAATGAGAACTTTTTTTTTTTTTTGAAATCTAAGACTTGTGCTCTATTTTTAGTATTTGAGATATGAGATTTTATCACATGCATGAAGTTCAAAATTGGTATTTAATGAGTATGAGAGATTTTTATGATTTATTTTGAAAGCAAAGTGATAGAACTTGAATACTTGATTGGGATGTTAGTCAAAATCTCCAAATGTTCTTTCCTTGATCTTAACTTGGGTTTGATCATGGATTATCACCATCTTAAAACATACAACATGTTTTTGGATGAGAATCTACAAACATTAAGATCCTAGGAATAGTTATTAGCAAGAACTAGTTATATAAATAATAAAAAGGAAGGAGAACTACAAAATATGTAAAATGAAAGATACTACTAAGCAAAATGAGTTTTAAAACTCTATGAGATAGATGCTTACCTTTAAAAAAAACTTTTAACTCTTTGAAATGATAATTTTGGGGCTGAATGTTGAAAGAAAATAGAGAGGATATGGAGTGGGATTTGGAAGAGCTCTTAGAGAGAGTTTAGAGAGAGAGGGGGGTTCCAACTCTTGACTTGGAATGGGAAAATGAGAGGGTGTCAGGGGGTTTTAAATTGGAGAGAGGGGGGGAGAATTCATTGGACGGTCAAAAAGGGGAGGGGGAAGGGAGGAGAAAGGGTAGGTTTTTGGGAAAAGAAAAAAATGATGAGATTTTAAAAAGTTTAAAAAAAAGTTGGTGATTTATTTATAATTTTTTTTTGAAAATTCAATTTAAATAATTATAGATGAATAATTAATTTAGTTTCTAAGATTTTTTTTATACCAAACATATATGTTAAAAAAAATGAGAAATGTTACTTGAATTGGTATTTTATGGATTAATTAAGCAATTCACTCTCCTAAATGCAAAATAGGCAAAAATTTTAGATTTTTCTAGCAGAATCATGACTTAGCTTCTAATTTCTAAAATGTGACGAGCCTATACTCACCAATGCGAGATGCCTATGACCAGACCTGAATTTATTTTGCCAAATGTCATACAAGAGCATAACCAAATCAAACTTACTGTACCATTGTCGAGGCGACTATTTAAGTCCATAAATGGATTTTTTTTTAATTTACACACCCAATCAATTGTGTCGTCAAAGGATAAAAATTCCACTTGATAAACGTTTAATTAGCAGGTAAGAATTTCATAGACGAAGTTTTAGTTTGAATAATATAAATGCACATGGGAGACAAACGCCCGTAAATCTACAACTGGCCGAAGTAAGATGATATATATGCACATGGAAGGCTGACATATGCCTTCAATTTTCAAATCACCCTTTCTTTTTAAGATTTTTATCTTCAATTTGTAGACTTATGGAAAGCGAAGGAGGAATAGACCATGATCAGTTGTTCTTATTAAGAACCTGTATGAAATCTTGAGCTCAAATCTCGCTTAAGATCGTTGGTTGGTTTTTGATCAACGAGTTTAACCAATATCCAAATGCATATCGACGCACCCAATTGATCAATTCGCTTGAACAAATCCATTAATTAGTATATACACACTGATTGTATTTTAAATCCGATACACAAATATGGGTTTCATGACAGAAGTCTCTCACAAATACAAATTGCAAAGGGAAGAAACTTCCCTTACGGACGTCCGCAAAGCAAGAAAACGATCTAATTCAATTTTGATTGCCTCAAACAAAGGGGTATGGCATGATTTGAGAAGCTAACTAGAAGCAGGCCCCATTGTTATGAGATGGATGAGTAGGTGGCCTACTGTTGTTGCTTAATCCAAGATAGCTTCCATTTCTTCCGATGCTCAGTGAAGAACACGAAGCTCTGGATGGTGCTTTCTTGTTGAAAAGCTTTGAAGAAGAAGAACTTCTTGTTGGAGGTGGAAGAACTCTCGATAAACCCACATAGCTTTTGCAAGATTTCATCTTCTTATTGAAAGGGTTTTCTGGTTTTGCAAGATCTTCTAAGCACATAACTTTCGATAAAGATGTGAAAGATTGTGATTTCCCTTGGAAGTGTTTCGATAACCCTCTTCTGTAAATTCATCAAACACAAATATAAGAACAGATTCAACATCTTTGGATCAATCTAAGCATATGTATATACAGTAGTAACGAATGGACTACGACTTACTTGGATGGAAGTTGCTGGAGGAGATCAGACATGTCACCCAAGGCGGTCGTCCGCGGCGGAGAAGAACCACCACCGGAGGAAGAGTTGCTTTCTTCATCATCAGATTCATCATCTGAAGACACCAAACTCGAAACATCAGACGAAAACGAATCATCATCTTCATAACCCATCATCTTAATCTTGTTTTCTTGATCTAAAGAAGAAGAGCCCATCTCCATCATCGTCATTTCTGAATTCTGAAACTTAGATCTCTTGGTTTATAAAAGCTTGATTCTTTCCAACCAATATCCACTGTACAGCTTTTGAAAAATTTAAGAACAAAAATAGGGTTTCAGGTATGAACACAGCGTAATGCTTTTTCTTTGCTTATGAGTAAAGCTAGAAAGACGAGAGTAATGGATTTAAAGGCAAAAGAGGATAAGGGTACAAGTGGGATATGCATGCATGTGTCCTGTAAGCATTTATGGTTGTACTTTTGTGGGCATCGTGAAGATTCGGCGTTATCCACTTCTATATTTGGTGGGGGCCAACAATATTTGGTATGAATTCCACCACCTCAATATACGGGGTTTGTTTACGAGGCATGACATGAAGAATGGAGTTTGAATAGTTCCATTTAGACCCCTCATCTTATGACTATACACCATTAAAACCCTTTAATTCTAAAAATGGTCATGTAAGACCTTTATTTTGTTGGTTTTAGAAAAAAAGACACATTTACCTTTCACGGAGTAAATTTTTTTTTTAGTTACCAAAAACTAAAAAGCTGATTTTTGAATTAAAACAAATCTCATAACTTAAAAAGAAAAATATGGTATCAATTATATTAAGCTTCTAGAACTGGTTCACAATAAACATAAGTCATGACACTACAACAAAACTAGGTTTTTAGAATGTTTTTATATAACACATTTCAAAACTAATATGACTATCTGCTTTTTGGTATCTAATTTTGCAGGGAGTCATGTTCTTCGCACGTTAGATGCAAAGAAGATACAACATCATTGACATGAATACCTAATAGACCCTTCATCCAACACAATAGATACGTATAGCATACAAATATATACATACACGATACAACCAATGAACTCGTATATGTCTTAATCCTATAAACACTCAATTCTTACACAAAATATTGTTTGTAATGCAAGCCACAACAGATGTATAGAACATAGTCATAATTTACAATGATCGTACTTTTCTCCATCAAACAATAAAATCAATGTGATTTGAATAAGTTTGTAAAATAACACAATGCCCTTTGGCACATAAAACTTATGTGATGGTACTAATAAGGTGTTTCTGTCTATTATAGAACTAGAAGGGACCAAGTGTTGATTATATAAAATAGAGGGGTCTAAATGGAAGTAAAGAAAATGGGGCGGTGGCACATCTCGAGTCCAATAGCGCGTTGATTATCCAGTCAACCAATTGGATGATGCAAGGCTCAACGTTAAAAGCATAAGATAAGGATGCTACATGGAAGGATATTAGTAGGTTACCTATAAATAATACCATCCGACAGATTTTTATAACATGTTAAGATATATATATATATATATATATATATATATATATATATATATATATATATA